TGCAGGAAAGGGCAGGTTGAAGAGGCAGGGAAATCCAGGCTGGAATCTGCAGGGATTCCTTGAGGCAACTCACACACTTGAAAAATTAGCCAATGTTTTTAACAACACCTGAAGAGGAGTTTCTTGAGCGTGGGGGAAGACAGACAGCAGTCATTGTATGAACAGGGGAGAAAACCCCAAGCCAACACCAGGTTCAGTCATCACCCCTCTGCCACCCCCAAATAGTCAGGAGTAAAATATTAACCAATACCTACAAAAATACAGAGTGCCAGAAAAAGAGGTCCAACACTTTTAGTGGGTTTAGGTCAAAGCAGCTCATCCTGCAAGTGGGTAAGAAGGCAGGAGGAGGGTGACACTGGGCACATCCATGCTCTGGGATGGAGCTTGCAATGCCCACTAGGACAAGCCTTGTGAGGGACTCGAGGGAATGTTCTAGTCCCATCACCCCAAGACTGGCACACAGCCTACTGAAAAGCTGCTCTGAAAGGGTAGTTATTGGCCTCCAGCTCAAAGGCTGAAAGTCCTTTGGAGAGCAGGAGCACAATCCAACACACTGCATCCAAAGCCAGTCTCTCCTCTGGAATTGGGTGCAAAAGGGAGGAACAGTTACAAACCTCTGAGGAGGGAAGGGGCCACAACCCTGGGGGATGTGAGGGGAAAGCATAGCAAAAGGCTCAGTTTTCTTCCAAATAAAGTTTTATATTTATTAGCACAAGTGTTCTGAGAGGGAGACAGAGCAGTGGGCCAGGACTACCAGGAGATCATCACTCACGGTGGGGATGGAAGGCTGGAAAATGGAGAGACACTGGGGCAGGATGCTCTGGGAAGTTCTCATTGCCCCATCCCTGGAAGTGTCCAAGGCCAGGCTGGACAGGGCTTAGAGCAACCTGGGCTAGTGGAAGGTGTCCCTGCCCATGGCAGGGGGTTGGAAGGAGATGAGCTTTAAGGTCCTTCCAGCCCAAGTAGTCTGTGGGTCTGTGATCCTGTGATAATGGTCCTCTTGGAGCAGGCTGAGCCCACCACCATCACTGGGGACAGCAGACACACACACACAGACACACACACACAGACACTGCCTTCTCAATCACTTGTTCAAATTCCAATTAAATTACTACAACTCCCTAGCTCTCGGATCAGTCCCGGAGCAGGCAGCCCCACCTCGCCCCGGTTGCTGCCCGCACTCGGGATGTGCTGAGGTTTAGCGAGTGTTTCCCAGGACAAGGCAGAGCTGTGTCTGTCACTGGCGGTGGCCGCTCTCTAGGTGGCAGCCCCGGCCCGCGGCACACCCTGAACTCGCCGCGGGCATCAGCCGGAGGAGACCGGGGAGAAAAGGGCTGCCTGCGGGTTACTCACTCGGGCTTTTAATCATCTTTTCTCGGTATTACTCCAAAGAGCTCAGTAGTGTCACAGAAAGGTGAAGGAAGATTTCAGATGAGCTGTTTTCTGAACGAGCCTGAAAAAGGGCTCGTGTGCCTCAGGTTGCCCCTCGGCTCCGTTAACCCCACTGGTAAGGCATCCCCCTGGGGAACAACTGCCAGGCTTTACTGTCCACTATTTTTCACCACTTTGGGGGATTTGGTGTGCTGCTTGCTCATCCCACATTCTCATAACTCCCCCTGCCAACACAGAGGGAAACTCTTGGAAACTCTTCAACTGGTTACAAACGTAAGCGCTCCCGTTTAGAGCACCTTTGGTATAAAACACCTTTTTGTTACCAGTACCTATAGATCAGAAGGGTTTAATCAAGTACATCAGATTATCACCTTTCATTACAGAAGGAGTTAAAAGCAAACCAATGTCAGGCCCCACAGCCCCCGAGCCAGCCCTGGCTGTGAGCAGGAGTCAGTGAGGGCTCAGTGCCGACATCCGGCCCCTGCAGCATCACCCAGAGGTGCATCCTGTGCACAGGGAGCTGCTCTCTCTCAGCATCAGCCTGTTGATAACATCTTGCTACTTCTCTCCAGCAGCTTTAAAGCTATTTGACATTAAGTCAGGGTATGTGTTCCAGGTGGGTGAGGATTAAAAGGAGTGGCGCTGTTCCAAATGGTGTTTGGTACGAAAGTGATTCCATAAATGGATTTAGAAGGTGTGTTTGCCTAATGGCTTAGATGAACATACAGCCTACATAGTGCTTTGTATCTGCTGGGTCTGGTTATTAAATCCCCTTACACAGTAAGGTGGTGGTTTAACCTCTTGTCAGCAGCTTCCTGTGGGGCAAATGATCCAGACAGAGCTGGGGAAGGTAAAGGACACTGTCCTTCCCTCACCTCTCCCACCTCCAGAGGTGAGGAGCAGAATGGGCTTCCTTGTGTTACCAAGAGACATTGGAATTCACATAGGAGAAAGCAGAGAGATATGTTTGTTGGTTTTTTACTTCTGTTTCTCATCTTTCATTGTGCCAGTTTAGTACATTTAAACTTTCATCTTGGTGACTCATTTCAATCTGCTGGTTGTCAGCTGAAAAGAGCTTGCAGATGCCTAAAGCTATGTGGTGTCCTAACAGCCTGGGTGGGAAATGAGGGGGCCTGGACACCAGGGGACCAAGAGCAGCTTGATACTAAAATTTTGCCCTTTGAGAGGATGATTCAGGCCTCTCGTCAGAGAGCAGAACCAAAGCAGGGCTGGAAAGTGCTGTCATGACAATCATTCCCCACGTGGTTTATGCCATAAGAACCTTTCACATAGTACTGGAAAATATAAATAACTTCTCCAGTGTGCAAAGCAGGTAAATGAATAGTGAATAACATGGCCATGGTTTACATGTCAATTTGATTGTTAAAGTAGGGACAACCAGAAACATACCCAAAGAACTTAGAACATCATCCAGTGTCAAATATTCATACTGTAAGACTACCCAAAGGGAAATGTATCCCTGACTCAACACAAAATTTCCCTGCTCAACCTGGAAAAGCTCACCCACCACTTCTGTGCTTCGTCAGACATTTCTTAAGAAATACCATATCTCAAAATCAAATAGAGGTTTAGAATAGAAAACGGGCCATTCTGGAAATACTTAGGGGAGACCCTGAATCAGCTGGCCCTGGCTGATGGGGGTACTGGCCAAGCTCGGTGCTGACGTGCTCCAGCTGAGAGTTTGGCTCCTTCCTCACCCTTTCCAAACAGGGCTCGCCAAACATGTTTCTTCTGGCACTGTACAAGGGCTTCCTCCCAGCTCTCTGCTGGAGCCAGGGCTGTTCCTGAGCACAGGGTGAGGTGAGGCAGCCCAGGTGCCCCAGGACAGGTTACAAAACCTCCCACTGCACTGCCAGGCATGGTTGGCACTAAGGCTGATGACGAGCAATTTCCCTTTTCTTGGTGGCCAGAAATAACTTCTCACTGAGAGCTCCCACGGTGACACTTCTTTTATTAGCTGAAATATTAATTGCCACATAGCATGGAACAAATCAGCCTTTTTTTTTTTTTCCTTACAGATGCATTACCTTCACGTTAGCAAAGTTCTGGCTCTGCAATTGCACTTTTGAACAGAGAGTTCTCAGGAAGGGAACTGTCCCGTGTGTTTGCTCTGAGCTGATTGTGCTGGGAGAGCCCTGGCTCCTCTCCTGGGGGACGCTGGGTCCTACCCCAAAGCACCCCTGGCTCTCCACCACACAACGTGCCACTGTCCTTGCAGCCCTCCTTCTCACTTACTAACACGTCCTCATGTAAAATTACCTCACCACCTTTGTGAAGTGCTACATAAGGGCCCAAGTAGCTTTAAGGAAGAAGCAAACATTGCCCCCACTCCAAAAAGGAGAAGCTGTAGTTGCCAGCTGGGATTGCAGATTTGCACAGCACTGTCATACAAATTAATTGTGCCAGGGTAAGATCCAGCTCTCACACTTCCTAATTATGATGAGCAAACAGCCTCTTGTTTTCTTTTCAGGTCAAATAAAAGATATTTGCAAATAAAAGCAGTCAGCTTTGCAAGGCTGCTGTACATATCTGTGCCCCCCCCCGCTCACAAAAGCCCACCCAAGTCATGTTGCAGCTGCACATGGATGGTTGATTAGGTCCTATGGGCTTCATCCTCAGCTGATATTTGCTTCAGATGTGCTGAAATCTTTAAAGAAAATATTTACGGCAACATAAGATGTGGTCCTATCTGAGGGCAAACGCATGGCTGCGTTACTACAAGTTTCCTCCAGTATTTTCCTGGATAGGACAGGCTAAGGAAAGCATAGGAATGGCTTTAAACTCATAGAGGGAAGGGTTAGACTGGATGTTAGGAAGAAATTGTTCCCTGTGAGGGTGGGGAGGCCCTGGCACAGGTTGCCCAGAGAAGCTGTGGCTGCCCCATCCCTGGAAGTGTCCAAGGCCAGGGTGGACGGGGCTTGGAGCAACCTGGGCTGGTGGAAGGTGTCCCTGCCCATGGCAGGGGGTGGGACTGGATGGGCTTTAAGGTCCATTCCAAACCATTCTGTGAGTCTATGATTTTATGGTGCATAGGTTTTTCTTTTATGATCTCTCACATATTGTTTGTGCCCTTGCATGTGGCTCTGGCATCAAAGTGTTGCAGCATTAGGGAATTTACCAGAACATTAATCAGAAAAGTTTCTTAAACCAGATATGCTGCTAATTCAACTCACCAAGTTGTTGTTGCTTTCTTATTTTCCTGATTTATGACTGAGATAAGATGGTAATCACATCCTGCACTTACTCAGCTACTCTATATAAGCCAGTTCAATATCTGCCAAGAGAGATGAGCTTGAATTCAAAGCCCATTTCAGATTACAGGGGTCAAGCTCCCTAAAATGAACACTTTTAAAATGCATCCTTGCTTATTCTTGCTACTCTTGAGCTCTGGGGTGTCCAGTAACTTTCTCCCTCTGGAGGAATTGCAGAACAAGATTAAAGACACGCTGATCGATGAAATGCTCTGTTTGCTCGAGGCTGAAAATGAGACCATAAATGTAAATGATTTTCCACTTCCCTCACACTACATTTACTTTTTGAGATGATTTCTAATTTCTGACTAATGGATTTCTGTTGTTTCCAGGCGAAGTTCTTCAAACCACTCCACGTACAGGTAAGAACCTGTTGTTTCCCATTCTGTTGTTATCATTCAGAGTCTCCAAAGGGAACCTGGAGCATAACCTCTGTCACAGCAAGCCTGAGGACATTTAAAGATAAGCTGTAATTGCTGTAGATGTAAATGCTGTCCCAAAATACTGATGCAATGCCATATTTTTAAGAGATTATAAGAATGTAGCTACTAACCATTCAAATTGCTACCAGAGATGAATAGTACCACACCTCAGTTTGTATCAGTTCTTTTTAATGCTTTTCCAGAGAAATTTCTGTTGGTGATTGCAAAGCCTGGTCTCCAAATGACTGGCAATATATAGAAAATGGTTAAAGTAGTTCTCTCTAAGTGTCCTACTTCCAAGGCAAAGAAAAAGGAATCACTCTCTGATTTAGATGGAATTGAATCAAATTCCCAGTGTGGTCACATTCACCATTGACAGAAAAGCTTTCTAGTTACAAACTAGAACGCTATTTATTTTCCCTTTTCCTCTCAGAGTCTAAGTTGTGCACACAGTAACACCGAAATATTTATTCAAGAACTGAAAAAGATTCCCACATGGAAGTGCATGAGGAGAGTGGAGAAAGGTTTGCAAAGGCTAGAAGAAACCTGCTACATTTTGAAGGTAAGCTTCTACTATTTGTTTGATTTGACTTTCAAACATTTTCTTGTAATTACCCATTTATCCAGAGGTTTTAACACCAAGGGATTCACCACGTTCATTTTTTGGCAACGAAATTGTCACTCATTTTTAATTTTGGACCAGCTGCAGTTCCAGTGAAGGCTTTCAAACTTTGTGTCTCATGTACAAAATCAGTCTTATAAAGCTGGTATCAAAATAGCTCATTTAGACCTGCAGTAATGAAGATTATTTATTAGGTGCAATTAATAATGATCTGTACAGCTCATCCTTCAGGAAGGACAGGGTAACTAATGGCAGAAAAGACACAGACCAGGAATACTGCAGAGAAAGAATCTGCCTTTTGAATCTGAAAGGGAGAAAGACAGAGAAATTAAGGGGATAAAAAATTGGGTTTGCATGGACCAGTGGCTGAACTTGCAACAGTGACTGGGCCCAGACAGTTCCCTCAATAGCAAAACAGGCTTTAGGAAGCAGCCCAGATAAGCACCAGTTTGTAGCTGCTGCAGCTGCAGAACAAACCATGTCTAAGGCTGCCATCTGACCAGTGTGCTGAGCTCCACACTGCTGCAGCTGGGGATGCTGGGAGCCAGCCAGCATCCCGCACTCCCTCCCTGTCCCCAGGATTTGGGGATTGTGAGAGAAACGTTTTGACCTGACTTCCCTTCTCCCAGTTTGGCAGATGACTTCCCTGCCCCCAAAAAACAACCCAGAAAAATCTGCAGTATCCTGGAAGTCAAAGAGAATGGCTGATGAGTAATGATTTCTAAGAACTGTGTGGAATGTCCTGGGGGCTGTGAAGGGCAGCCTCGTCCTCCATCCCAGCGAGCTGAGGAGGAACGTGCAGCATTTGGGAGGGATTCCTCTGTTAACTCACACATCAGCATCCGCTCTTTCCTCTTAGAAATCTCCATCCAAAGATGAAAGATGCTCAGAGAAGGCAAAAACAAATTTCTCACGATTCAAAGAGAGTCTGAAAGAATTCTTGAGATGGGTGAACGAGAAGCTGGACTGCAGCAGTGACGGGAGAAGTAACTGGAGTTTGTACATGGACGGCAAATGCACCTGCCGGGATCCCTGGAGATCCTAGCAAGGCTCAGGCTAGGGAAGAGCTGCCCAGGCAGTGTGGGGCTGGGGAGGAAGGGGAGGGGGAGAGATGGCTGTTACAAAGCAGAGTCTTTGCTAATTAACGTGACTATTCTGATGCTAATTAATGCTAATCTTTGTTGGCTAATGCAAGCAGGCACGTTAAAACTGCACCCAGTGATTAAAGCTCTGTATAACCAGCATGGCCAAGTATTGTCATTTATTTTGTGTCGTTATCAAATGTGTTGTTATGTCACCTGAGATACGTAGTAAGGCATGATGTCTGGGGGGTTTGCACAAAGGGACAGAAAACCCATCCCTGACCCACAGACAGGGAGATCCAGCACAGCCCCCCAGGATGGAAGAGACCCAACACTCCCCATTCCCACCCTCTGCTTTAACCCCCAGCACAACACCCTTGCTTTTAGTTTCTACTGCTTTACACTGGGCTTGAACGTGAACCTGACCAAATAAATCTCCAGGTTCCATGTGCTGCTCAGTGTCTTCTCCCATGGCACTGAGTAGCTTTTGCTCTGCCTTTTTCACATTTTTTCAGTATGCAGCATTTATAGAGGTTTTGACTAGATCCAAACCAGTGCTGAATCACATTTCAAAAACAACACAGAGCATAATATTTCTTGCAAGAGACCTTGCATGTCTCTGTGTAAATCAGTACAAACTGGGTGCCAGATGCTGTTTTTCTGGTATACGTTTTTTTTTATTTTTACAAAAGTCTTAGGCAGACACTTGAAAGGGGAGAAAGTTTTTAAAAAGGCAGACTATCACAAAGGAGTGATTAAGGGCAATTCCTGTCACAGGTTTACCAGTATTCCCAGTCTGCAACACCACCACCAGGATAACAAATACAACATGTCATGGATGACAGGTCTCCCAGGGGTTGGTGATGCCTGTTTCCATGCAGCAGCAACACAGTGGTATCACAGGATTCACAGGCACCAGAGAACTCAAGGTTTTGTCTTCACTGCTTAGAGAAGATGGGGGAACCCAGCCTTCTCTAAATACAGATAGATTGAGCCAAAGGAAAATTGGCATGTATCAGATTCTAGCTGATACCAGTTAAAAATCTATAGCTTTTCCCAGCTCAGCAAAAGGCTGAGACATTAATTTGAAACTACTGCAATAAAACACAACGGAGCCAGTTTGGTTTTTGACTCCAAAATATCACAGGTATCTGCTTGCAAGACAAATCTTATCTTTGTGCTTAGACCTTTACTGCTACAGAACACACGTCACCACACATACTCACAGCCTACCCAAGGCCAGTGAGTTTTGGACAAGGATTGGTGTTGAAGCCACGACAACCACAGAAATTACTTGTCATGGAAGTATGATTTATCACACATGTAAACCAGATAAAATTCAAGCCAGAAGGTTTGCACCATTTCCCATCATGTCTTGAACACTAACCAAAATCCAGTCAAGAGTGAAACATCAGAACTGGTTTTTGCAGCTGACAAAACAGTGGTAAGAGGAAGAAAGAGATGCAACATTTATAAGTCATGTGGAGGAAAAATATCTGTCATATTTTCATGCCTCAGTCCAAACATAAGGAGTTTTCTATCATGCTCAGCAGGCCCTGAACCACCAGGTATCTCCAGGTTAAAACAGCAGTGGAGACATGGTGGTAAAATTCTTGGTGTAGCTGTCTGCACTTTTCTGCATCCCAGGCAAGACAAGCACTTCAGAAACCCCCACGTTGCAGTGACCTTTGAAATGAAGGATAAACTGGCAAAGCTCAAAGCCCATGAAAACATCTGAGTCCCAATGTGACTGGAATTGCAGCAGGGTTCTGCAGGGCAGTGTTCCCACAGCCAGGGGGAGGATGAGTTTCCATGGTTGTGTATGAAGGGAAGCAAAGCAGCTGAACTGCTGTCCTGGAGCAACTCACAGCACATCCAGTGAATGCAACCAATACTGTCCTTCCACTCAGCAGCCACTGAGTGAGACCCGAATTTGCTCAAATGTTCAGCCCCACCTCACCTTCCAGAGGATTTGAAACATATTCAGCTTAAAACAAACCACTTTTAAACTGAGTATCTTCCGATATTTTTCATTCTCGAGGTCACTGTTCAATGTTACGTGTCTGTGTTCTCACCTTAGTCCCAGGGTTTTCTTTGAGGGGATGCAGAGCTCCCTCTCCCACCCAGCCCAGCCCCTTCAAAGGACAACTCAGTTTAAAAACCAGAAAGAAATTGGAGAGTGCTTTGTTTGGTTTCACAAGTCCTAGAGATTAACAAAGTGCTCCTGTCCAACCCTACGAGAAAGAAGAGATCAAACCACAACATTGTCTGGACTGGCCCTGTCCGAACACACACTGCAAGGGCTCTGCAGGATCTCACAGAGCTACTACACCAGTCAGTGTTTGACCTGGGATGGTCAACACAAGAGTTGTGTTATCATCAGAAAGACATTTATTCTGCAGCAGTCCATTGTTTTAGGGAGTTCTTATCCAAGAACATCTTTCTATTACTGCTTGTGGTCAGGTTGGCTGAGATAGAGTTGGGTTTTTCTGCTGGGCACCCACCTACTCCAGCAGCTCCTCCGAGGCTTAATTTTAATATAATTCAGTTTGGCTTTGAAAATTCTGAGCTGACATTTGGGCTTGCTATCCCATTGACCTGACCAGAAAGTCCTGTAGCACCCCCAGCACGACTCATATTTGGATTTTTAAGTTCATAACGAGAGGAAAAAAACCTGCTGCACTCCTACACCCACTCTTAAATCCATGTCATTCCCCCATACAGATACCTACTTTTCCATGCATCTGCTTGCAGCCCTCACATCAAGGAAATGCAGAAAAGAAAAGCAGTTCAGAATTCAGTTTTGACCTTTCAGATTGGGTAGGTAGCAGCATTTTCCTCACCAGCTTTATAAATGCATTTATTCTGTACTTACAGCATTTCCCACACATGTTTCCTGCACACACACATTTCCCTTTCACACAAGGCCCTCAAGGTCAAACCCATGCCCAGTTGTTCCTCATGATTCTACAGGGTGAAACAACCAAGCAAACCTTACAAAGCAAACAAGTAAAAAATTAATGTCATCCCAGTGCCCTGGTGTCTTTTAAGATGTCAGAGTATGTACTGTGATAAAACAACTAAAGCTTTTAAAATACTCTGATTCAGGTTATACTTAATGCCAGTGCTGCTATAGAAACAAGAAGAGACATGATTTAGGATGATTCCTGATACCATTCAGCAATCTGAAGCTGCTCTCAGAGCCCTCCTGCTCTCAGTTATATCAGAGAGAAGACACACAAGTCTCACCCGCAGGATTTAACCCAAAGGAAACACAGTCAGATAACTTCAGTGTGTAAATTCTTCCCATGACTTTATCAGAGTGGAGAAATACAACAGGCACTGAGGCTGCAGTCATAGCTGAAATATTTTAAACTCAGTTTTGTTGTGTGTTAAGACACAAAAGCCACATCCTTGAGTCACAAACGCTGTGAGCTATAGCAGGCAAAGAATATACTCTTATTAAAAGAAACCATAACCTTCTCTAATAACAATGGCCCTGACTACAGGACAGAATGGAAAATAATTAAAAAAAAAAAAAAAGTCAGTGGAAGAAATGGCAAGTATGAAATAATTCGTTTGAACTCACGGCACATCAGTAATCCATGGACTGTAAGTCTGGTTATCATTGACAGTAACCTTATGCAAAAGCATAAAGAATTTATTTCCCAAAGATGTAAGACCCTACGGAAACCCCATCTAAGTCTGGTCAGAAACAATCCTGAACCAACCCTAATTCTCTATATCCAATTTCCTAAGTTATTTGAATCTTCATCCAGACTTTGAAGCTTTTTAAGTGCAGTGCTCTGAATATTCTCAAAGGCAGTGGAAAAAAAAAGAAATCTGGATCTAATGTTCTTGGCAGCAGCATAATCTGTGTTCTAATAACTTCCATGAGTACTGGGCTCGCGTGTCTCAGAGCATATTTTATCTGTGATACACTTCACATGCAAGGGCTTTTAATTTTTATTAGTTGCAATTAAGCCTTCCTGCTTAGTCCTCACGACAGGGTCTGAGGTTTGGGTGCAGGACAGAAGTCTGAGTGCACTTTTAACCACCTCCCATGAGCAAAGAAACCAACAGAAGGAACGGGAAAGCCCTGTCCCTGCCTCCCAACACTATCTGTGACAGCATCATCCCTGTTCTCTCTGACTGGAGCAGCCCTGCAGATGAGGCACATCCCATCCACCTCCCTGCTGAGTCAGCATGGATCCATGCCTCTGGACACAGAGCACTTGAATCCACTCTCCACAAATCCTGAACCCCTATCCTTGAAAAGCCACAGCCCCACTGGCAAATTCAAACATATCACAATAATGGTTGCCCCCCCTTGCATATTTCAAATAAATCGTGGAAAAAATACAACAGGTAGAGTCAGAGGTACAAATCATTTTCCTGGTGGCCAGAAGGCTACTGGGTATATCTGATAGTTTCCAAAGTACACCATAGGAACGAGCTTACCTGATTGCTTCTTTGTTCTTTCAAGATGCCACACAGAACTGAGTCACCTGTGATCATCTCCTGTGATGGGAGAGATTTTAAAAGTATTTTACCTTTAGAAAAGCTATAAAGGAAATTAGAAAACAAAACAGAAAGAGGTGTGATAGACTGAGAGAAATCTCCCTCCCTCCCTGAGACGGAGGGGTGAGATAAGGCTGTGGTTGAGGTGGTGGGAGCTGAGCACAGGCCGTGGTCATCACTCCCCACTTCCTGCCCCCCTCTAGAATTCACTCCTCAAAAGCATGTGAAGTGGAACTAAAATGAGCTTACTTCAGTTTTTGACATGAATGCAGTGCTGCTGGAAGGTTGGGGATGGACAACCCTGGATGAGGGACTCTGCATCCCAAGGATGGATCCTGCCTCCCCAAACCCCACTGAAGGGAAGGGTCTCACTGCAGGGCCCAGCTGGTTCCCATCCCCTGCCGGGCTGCAGACACTGGGCAGGCTCAGGCCCGTAGGATCAGGTCTGGTTTGCAGACTGGCA